TGGAACTCACTATGTAGCCCAGGCTGGTCTCAAATTCATAGCGATCCTCCTGCCTCAGCCTCCCGAGTGCTGGGATTACAGGCATGCGCCACCATGTCCGGCCTAGTAAACCAATTCTTACAGATTTGTTTTCAATGTAAAGTTAACTGGAATGCAAATAATAATGACATTTTTTCATCTTTATAGTAAAGATATAACCACACTGAAGGAAAACCAATTAAAATCCAACACTTCAACACTACTGTTCTATTTTCGTTTTTCGTATATTTTGTGTCTGGTGCCATTTTGCCCTTGCCCACTTTCATACATATTGTACACATATAACCAGCAACTTGGGGTACAAAATAAGGTCTTGTATGTTTTAACACTCGAATTAACTCCAGTCTCCTATCCCACTTACAGTCACAGTGTTGTTCTTCACTTCCTGCTACTCTCAGCAAGCAAAGAACTTCAAAGACCAAGGTCAGTCCTGGTTCTGTGGTCCTGAAAGAGAAAACAAGGCTGCGAAGAACGCAGAAATGAGTGCCTGCTGTGTCAAGTCCTTCAGTATCAACCATAAATATTCTCTTCCTACAACACAGGGCTACGGTGGTCAGCCCTGGCCCACACTCCAGACTCCCTCTTTTATGTGCGAAGCCTTCCCTGAAGATGTCCGGTTCTTTGTAATCAGCGGTCTTTCCTCAAGACAGTAGTAACGGTCTCTCGACTCTGAATCACAAAGAGAAAATTTCAGGTCTCCCTGGAGACTCCTGAGCCCCTACGCCAGTGGTGACAGAACCTACGGTTTTTAAGACAAAAGATGCTAAAGTGTGAGTTGTTCTTTTCTAAACTAAAAACTCAGTATTGAGGTTTAATTGCAGTGTTGGCCCTTTGTGGTAAGTGAGTTTGGGGCTGTAGTTTGAGCACTTGTCTCTAAAAGTGCCCGAAGCCAACTTGCCTGGCTCCTTTTTAGCAATCTTCAAGTTCTCTGACGTAAGGGGTGTTAGAATATATCCAGGTGTCAATTTTTGCCCTGCTAAGTCAGCATCCACTGGCTTCTCATTCCTCTAACTCAAGTGGCCCATTTGGCGCTTATCCCACACAAAGGAAGTCAGCTCCAAGCGACCTGATGTCTCCATCACAAAAAACAGAGTGGTTGGGCACTTCCGGTGGTGGGTGCAAGGTCAGACCAAGGCACAATTGAGACAGGCAAAGTTCAAGCAACTGGAGAAGAGTTTATTGCCCTCTGGGTGCAAACAGACCAAGGACAAAAAGGACACTGGCACTGAGAGGAGGGTGAAAGTGGTTGACATGGGAGAGTTTAGGCAGGGGACAGGGCACTGACTGAGAGGGTGGAAAATTTTAGAGTCCCACGGGTGATGGGCGTGGGGCTGGCTGATAAACAGGATGTTGGTAGGAGCAGCAGGGCGGTGGTCTCCAGTGGTGCCTGGTCATGCAGGTGTCGCTGTGTGGGGCAGGCTGCTTATCTCGAATCTGGGCCTTGGATTCCTGTTATCCTTTGTGCCTTGCAGGATGTGCAACTGCATTGCCTGGGAAGTTTTTCTCTTCTGTCCGGGCTGGGATCTGATAATGGGTACTTGATTAAGATAGCAGCAATCATCATCATTATCATCATCATCACCAAATAATTAAACTTAGCCCACATAATTCTAAGCACGATATGCATATTATTCTGTTTTGCTTTTTCCATTTATAGTATATTAAAGCTTTGATTCTATGCTGCCTTCTACCAGCCTCCTCTTCCACAACGTTGGACACTTCTCTGTTCTCTCCCTGAAGAGTTTTGAGCTCCCGAAAACTACTGTAACCATATCCACCAGTTCATACAATTCTCTGGACAGTCAGTGATTAGACATTGATCACAGGCCCCGTGCTAGGTGCTGAGAACGCATCAATCCATGGACTGCAGCCACGACCTCAGAAAGGTATTACAGGAAAGCAAAAGCCAAAGTATACAGTCACAACATTCTGTGGGGAGAGCTTTACTAGAGATTCAAATGGACAGAAGACAGTGGCCAAGAGAGGAACGGGGAATTCCTTAAAGGTGGGGTCTCTTGAGAGGGTCTTGAAGGATAAGTATGACTTTGCTGGAAAAGATGAACGCTTCAGGCAAAAGGCCCGCCGCATGCAGATGATGTGGCTATAGCTGGAGCCAAAGACACAAGTAGGAAAGTAACAAAAAGGAAGGCATGGGCCTCATCGTGAAATTCTTCCTGTGCTGTGCAAAGGACTTGATCCTCCAGGGCAGGGTCCGCAATTATTTTCTGTGAAGGGCCAGGTGGTATATATTTTAGGCTTTGTAAGCTGTGCCACCTCTGCCCAAACCACTCATATTCTGCCACCGCGGCAAAGCAGTGCTTACAGACAATGAATAAATAAATAAGCATGGCTGTGTTTCAACAATAGGTTATTTATAGGCTCTAATATTTGAATTTCATATAATGTTCATGTCAGAAAATATTACTTGCTTCAGTTTTTTTAGCACTTAAAAATGTAAAACACGTGGAGCCATAGAAAAACAGGTGGCAGGCTGGATTTGGCCAATAAGTTGAAGGTGGCAGACTTCTGCTCTGGGACAGTGAGTCCCAAAATTTTACTGTGCATTAAAAACACCTGGGGAGTTTTGAAAACACTCCATGTCCAACGTGCAGTGAAAACAAATCAATTGTGATCTCTAGGTGTGGGAACCAGGTGGCTCAGTCTTAAACCCCAGATGATTCCAATGTACAGCACAGTTTGGAAACCACAGTTTCAGGCTGAAAGAGCCACTAAAGAGATTTACTGTTTTAAATGAAAGGATGATACAAAGATCTGGGTTTCAGAAAGAGGACTCCGAGCTAATGAAAAGAAGTGCTCACTGATAAGAAAATATGTTCACTACATACACAGATTGTTCAACCCAAAAACCAGGTCATGAACTACATGTCATGATCCTATTTTGTTAAATATAAAAACATTTAATTAGAAAAAGGAAGGAAATGTTTGAAAAGAATAATAGAAGGTAAACTTTTTATCTCTGGTTCATAAGGGTAATTTAATTTTGGGGCCGTTTTTATTATTTGCATTTTCTGACAACACAAATGCTTCCCTTTTTGTTACAATTTAAAGAGAACAAAAAGGTCCATATAAAACAAAAAGAGAAGCAAGAGTGAGAAAGAAAGGAGAGAAGGACAAAGAACAGGATTTGAGTATACAGGCTGAATATTTCCTAATCCATTGAGATCTAAAATTTGAAACGTTCCAAAATCTGAAGTTTTTTGTTTGTTTGTTTGTTTGTTTTTGGTACCGGGGATTGAACTTGGGTCCTTGATAAAGAAAGGAGAGAAGGACAAAGAACAGGATTTGAGTATACAGGCTGAATATTTCCTAATCCATAGAGATGTAAAATTTGAAACGTTCCAAAATCTGAAGTTTTTTGTTTGTTTGTTTTTGGTACCGGGGATTGAACTTGGGTCCTTGCGCTTGTGATGCAGGCAGCAGAATCACTGAGCTAAATCTCCCACCCCCGAAGTTTGTTTTTGTTTTTGTTTTTGGACACAAGGTCTTGCTCAGCTTCATGATCCTCCTGCTATTCCTCCTGAGTGTTGAGATTGTAAGTGTACACTACTGCAGCAGCTCAAAATCTGAAAATTTGGAGCCCTGACCTGATGCCAAGAATGGAAAATTCTACACATGATCTCATGTAACTGACAGATTGAAGTCAAAACACAGGTGCCATAAAAATATTGTATAAAACCACCTTCAAGTTCTGTGCATAAAATATGTATGAAACATAAGTACATTTTATTTTTAGACTTGGGTCTCCTCTCTAAGATATCTCACTATGTATATGTAAATATTTCAAAGTTAATAAGAAACATTTCTAATCCCAAGCCTTCCAGATAAGGGATATTCAATCTGTATTTCCTAATTTTTTTTTTTTTAACTGGGGATCGAACTTAGGACCTTGTGTTTGCAGGGCAGGCGTCAGCACCACTGAGCTAAATCCAAGGCCCTTCAACCTATATTTGCTTAGTACAAAAGGTACTAAGAATCAAACAGAAGAAACAGGTGATTAAAGGGACCAGAAGATAAATCATGAGAGCCTGAACTAAAACAATGGCAATTGAGAAAGAAATTGAACATACTTGGACACTAGGAGTTACCTAAGTTAGCTGGATTTTTCACATAATTATGTGGACCTCAATCCCACCTTCAGTCGGAGGGACGGTAGAGGGAAAGAAAAAATGAGAACACAGATTGCAACAGAGCCAGTCCTAACCTCAGCTCTTTGAGTCCTGATTTCTTTACCTCCTGTGTCCATTAAATTCCAGCTGACACTGAGTCCAGCTCCAGGCTCTGGAGAAGGGATAATTTTCTAAGGGTAAAAGCAATAGAACATAGGGCTGGGGATTTAGCTCAGTGGCTCCAGGATGGTCTTGCAAGTGCAAGAGCCTGAGTTCGATCCCTGGTACCAAAATAAATTTAAAAAGACTAAAAATAAAGCAATAGAAGATAGGTAAAATGATCACTAATTTTATCATAGAAAAGTGCAAAACTTGTGCTAAACACCCCCCTCCAAAAAACTCAAATTGATAGAAATACAGCAAATGAAGTATTTGTAGTAACTGCATTAGTTTGGATTATATAACCAACTTTAATGATGTACATGTTCTGCAGAGAGCCAGGAAGCCAATGGCTTCTCAGTCCAAGAAGCTGGAAGCCTCAGAACAAGAGGGGCCAATGATGCAGGCCCAGACCAAGGCCAAAGGCATGCAAGCCCCTTGATATCCATGGGTGATGGCAGCAGCAAAAATACACTCACTCAGAAGCGCTCGAGCGTGCACACACGAGCCTCCCCTTCCTCCTCCCTTCTGTTTCATCCAGGGCTCCACCCTCTATTGTGCTGCCTTATTCCGGGCGGCCTTCCCCACTCAGTTCACTGACTCCACACCGATCTTTTCCAGACATACACTCACAGTGATAGGGAAAACCTTTAAAATAGCAAAAACCTATAAAGTGTTACCGTGTAAAATGGCTTGTGTGGTCTCTAACAGCAGTTTGTTTAGCTCAGGACTAACAGGCACCCAGGGCACTAATTGCTGACTGAGGCATTTGGTCTGACCCTGAGATAACGGGGCCCAGCAAGACCTTGAGCTCCGAAGAGACTGGAGACTGGAGCCGCGTGATCATGAGAGTGTCTGGATGAAAGAACCCATTGCTAACATCTGCTCCCCTGACCCTGAACACCCCCTTCCTATGGGCTAGAATAGATAACTAGGCGAATCTTAAAGGTAACTCCCCAACAGCAAAGAACTGTTACATCTGGGTTGAAAAGATTAACTATTTTGGTACCGTGATTTGAACTGTGAGAATGGAATGTAACCACCCGAATGAAGTCAAGGCTGTGAAACCCTACAGAAGGCGGAGTTGTAACCCAGTGCGTCCTCGATCCAGGCACGGTTTATGTGCGATCGACCCTTCTTCAAGAGTAAATTGTTGTTTTACTTCCACTCTGCTGCCTCTCTGTGTGTCACTTACTGATTCCTTCCGTAACAACAGAAACACCAATTGTTTTCCATTGATTTCATTGGTACATTTTAGGGATACAGTACAGTTAAATTCATTATTGGGATCTTGTACCTCTACATGACAGGTCTTGGTTCTCATTTTTTCCCCTAGAAACACCAATTTTTTAGGGAGTTCTCCATACAGTTAAGATGACAACCAAGATTAACTATCTTAAGTACTTTCTATTAGTCAGCTTTCTGTTGCTGAATCAGGTCTTGGTTCTCATTTTTTCCCCTAGAAACACCAATTTTTTAGGGAGTTCTCCATACAGTTCAGATGACAACCAAGATTAACTATCTTAAGTACTTTCTGTTGCTGAGACAAAATACCCGAGGTAATAAACTTAGAAATATGAGGAGTTTATTCTGGTTCACAGTTTTAGAGGTTTTCGTCCATGGTGTCTTGTCCCCGTTGCTTAGGGCCCATGGGGATGCTATAGCAGTGGTTTTTAACCCTTGATATATGCAGAGCTCTTTAAAAACTAGGTTCCACCCAAACCCCATTAAACAGTGGGGGTGGCGGGGCAGCATCATACTTTATGGAAGCTTCCTATGAGATTCTGATGCTCACCCAGGTCTGGGAGACACGACAATAAAGTTCTGTTTCTATCATTTCTGCCCACTTCTTCCGTACTCATCTCCCGACAGTGGGGGTGGCGGGGCAGCATCATACTTTATGGAAGCTTCCTATGAGATTCTGATGCTCAACCAGGTCTGGGAGACACGACAATAAAGTTCTGTTTCTATCATTTCTTCCCACTTCTTCCATACTCATCTCCCAGTGAGAGATTTATCAGTCTTATGAGTGTTGAGAGTATCAGGTACACTGGTCCATGTTTCTTCAGTGCATAGAATGTTTTTCAAAAAGCAACTCACCATTTCTTACAAAGTTAAGCGTACACTTGCCATATGACCCAACAATCAGAAGCTTGGGAATTTACCTAAGAGAAGTGAAAAGATTAGTCTACACAAACGCCATACACAAATGTTTAGCAACTTCATTCATAATTGTCTAAAACTGGAAACAGCCTAAAGATCCATCATCTGGTGAACAGATAAGCCAATCAGTGTTCATCCACACAATGAAAGACAACTCAGCAATAAGAAGAAATAAACTACTGACACACGCAACATCATGGATGCCACGGACTGCACAATTTTGCTTACAAAACGTTCTATCCAGGTATGATGGTAGTGCAGCACTCGGGAGGCTGAGGCAGGAGGATCACTATGAGTTCGAGACCAGCCTGAGCTACATAGTGAGTTCCAGGTCAGTGTCAACTACATAGTGAGACCCTGTCTCAAAAAAGAGAGATAGGACGTTCTGGAAACAAAACCATGGGGACAGAGAGGACAGGAAATTGACTGCAAAGGTCTCAGAAGGGACTTCCTGCAGTGATGGGAATGTTATGTGATGCTATATTTGTCAAAACACATTCAACTACATATTGAAAATAATGGGTTTCACTGTATTTAAATTAGATACATCCATTTCTTAAAGCAGTACCCAGTTGTGTTTTTTATGCTCACTATTGGGGCTCACAAGTGTGAGGTGGCGATTCTGGGTATGAGTCTGCTTCTAAATGCTCAAATTCCCTGGCTGGTGAGTTAACCCAGATTCTAGAATGTACAGCAGAAGAGGCTCAGCCCAGCGCTGGTACAACCACATTCTCCAATCCACTTTACAACCACAAGCCTATCTCCACCTCCTGAATGACTCCTATCCACATCTCAAATGTTTCTGAATTCAGAAAGTTGGAAAGGGGCATTATGAATCCTCATTCTACCTCTCCCCGCCTCTCTCCACATTGATCAGGAAATCTTGAGAGATCAGTATCACATCAAGGCAATGGAAATAGCACACGGGAAAATAAATCTACGAATGCTGACCACAGTAGGCCACAACACACTGTATTTTGGCTGGCGTTTACAGACATGAGGCTGGTTTTTACTGGCAGTAGTGCAGTTGTTTCTGGCAGATGTACACTTAACAGGTGCAAGTGAATCAAAGACTAGGTCACGGGGTGGGGGGAGTATTTTCATACCATGGAAATCTTACAAAACTTCATTTTACAACGTTATTAAGCATGAGTGGAATCACTTTTCCTTTCTTTATTCTTAGAAAGGACAACAAGCAAGTATTTAAAATTGTAAAAGACAGTCAAGGGTCATGGGCCAAAGAGAATTGGCCTTTTTCTTATACATCTGGTATTTACAGGTGGCAATAATTCAGCAGACTAAAGTTCTATTCCTCTCCATGTTGTTTCAGGGCTAAGGAAAGAGTTGATTATAAGTCTCTTTAAATTCTTTGGCTGATTCACAATAACGTGAATTTCATAAATCCACTGTAGTTTGGTTTTGATTTTATTTTATAGACCCAAGTTTTGCTTCAACCACAAAGGAGTAAAAAACTATTCCAATGGATAAAATAAACAAAACAGAATTGGAATACAATGGACAAACCTTCTTTAGTCCTGATTCAAAGAACAAAAATTTAGAAAAAACAATTCTAAAAAAGGCATTTAGACATGGCTAAGGAAATTTGATTATAGAGAATTAAATTATAGTTTTTGGAAATTTGTCCATTTTCATTTGATGTGATAATGCTATGTTGCTGTATTGGAGAATAATTTTATTTTTATGTTATAAATGCTAGAATTGGGCCGGGAATTTGGCTCAGTGTTTCTGCCACCTGCCTTGCAGGCCAAGGACCCAAGTTCGATCCCTCGTACCAAAACAAAATAAAAACTAAATGCTGTGCCAGACGTGGTGGTACATACCTGTAACTCAGCACTTGGGAGGGTGAGGCAGGAGGATCGCTCTGAGTTCAAAATCAGCCTGGGCTGAGTTCCAGGACAGTCTGAACTAGATAGTAAGAATCTGTCTCAAAAAAACAAACAAACAAAAAAAAAAGTAAGGACTGGGGATTTAGCTCAGCAGTTCCTTGGCCTGCCTTGCAAGGGCAAGGACCCAAGTTCAATCCCTGGTACCAAAAAAAAAAAGTAAATGCTGCAATACTAGGGGCAATTTTTTCTGATTTCTATAATTTGCCTTCAGACATTACAGAAAAGTATATATTTTGTACAATTTTATATACATTCATAAACATAGATATGTAAAGATATACACATACATATAAGCATACATGTACATGCAGATAGACAAAACAATTCAAATACCATTAAATATTATTGTTGAATGCAGACACTAAGTATTCATTGTAGTTTTCTTCCAACTATTCCTTATTTCTAAAAGTTTTCATAATAAAAAAACTAGAGAAGAAGAATATAAGTAATCATTCTACAGGGGACCTGCCAACCTTCTGGCATAAGGAAGAGAAATAACTTAATGAAATTATCATAAGCCAAATAAAATGAAATTATCACAAATCAAAGGCTAAGAATAATTTTAACACAACAATCCATGAATGTACTTAACACTACTGAACTACACACTCAAAAATATGATAAATTTCACCTTGTCTATGTTTCACTACAGTATTTTTTTAAAAATTAAATTTCAAGGGGCTGAGGATTTAGCTCAATGGTTCTACCGCCTGCCTCACAAGCACAAAGTCCCAAGTTCAATCCCTGGTACCAAAAAATAGAAAATAAAAATAAATTTCAAACAGAAAAAAAAAAGATAATTTATCTGTACACTATCTGTTTCTGGAAATCGGTTTTGCTCAGAAAAAAAGGAAAGAAATGCACTGATTCTAAAAGATGTGTTTTGGTTTTGCTAGGAGAGCAAAAATAGAGGGCAAGAAACAAAAAATAAAGGAACACTGCTGGATTATATTACACTATCAAGAAAGAGAGAATTTCTTAGCAGAAAGCCTGAAGCCCTAGAGGAAAAAATTAAAAATAAGAAATCTTCACAGTCAGGCCAAACAACCCCAAAAAGGGTATCTATGTCAATCCTGTTGTCCATAAAAGTTGTACCATAAAATGAAAACAAGAATTGACACCAGAAGAGCAAGTACTTGGGTACAAATAAAGAGAGGAGGGGCTATAGGGTCAGAGGGAAACTTAAAGTGACCCCTGTTATAGGCTGAGTTGTGTCTCCAAAAAACTCTATTGAAGTCCTAACTTTTGGGGTTTTTTTGTTTTGTTTTTTTGAGATGGTCTCACTATGTAGCCCAGGCTGGCCTTGAACTCTAGGCAGTCTTCCTGCCTCAGCCTCCTAAGCGCTGGGATTACAGGCTTGTGCCAACACATCTGGCTGAATTCCTAACTTCTACTACATCAGAATGTGACCTAATTTGAAAACGGGGTTGTAATTGGTGCAAATAAAGTCATCTTGGAGTAATGACCTTGGAAAAACAGAAAATATAGACATAGGCTGTTCTGGTTCAGATCCAAAATGCCCCTCAAAAGTCTCATGTGTTCAGACATGGGCTTTTTCCCAAAAAGATGAGTAAATCATGGAGGCACTCAACTCATCAGCAGATTCATCCACTGATGAGTTCAGAGCTGAATGCAATGTTAGAAGGTGGGGCCTGGTCACAATAGGTGGATAATAGGGGTGTAAGCAGAAGGGTGTGTTCTCCCTCTCTCTTCCCACTCCCTCCCTCCTTATTGTCAAGGGTTGAGCAGTTTTCTACCTTGGAGCCAGCTCACCACGGACTGAGCTCCTGAAAATATGAGACAAAATAAACCTCTTCTCCTTGAAGTAGCAGATACCAGGTATGTGGTCCCAGTGTCTGGAATGTGACTAATACGCAGCCACAAACACGTACAGAGAGAAGATGATGTAAAGAGACGCCTGGAGAACACAGCCATCTACAAGCCATCACCCGGAACGCACCCTTCCCAGACAGCCCGCAGAATGAACGAACCTTGCCAAGCCAACTTCCGGCATCCTGAGTGAGGACACGTGATGCAGTACTGATACGCCCTCAGAGGGATCCCAGGTCAGAAAACTACTCTGAAGCACTGGCTAAAGTCATTCAAGTATATCGGGAGAGGAATCAGGGAACTACTCTGAAGAGCGGGAATACTACACCAGGCAGTTTTGCCAGAATATGTGGGTAGACTTGAGAAGGAAGGCTGAGTTCGAGATTTTAGGAATCCTTCAAACCTCACCAAGTTTCAAGGTGTCATGGTTGTCTTTGTTTATTTGTTTTGTGCAAAGCTGGGAATCAAAGCCAGGCCCTTGCACATGCTAGAGAAGCACATTAACCACTCTACCACATGCAGCCTGCCCTGGTTATTTTTAAAAGAGATCACTTTTGTTCCAAGGAAGTAAACCTGGGGATTTTATGGGAAAATATTTCTTAGATATGGGATTACACATTTAAGGAAGCTGAAGGCACACAAGATAAGATGTAGGCAATGAATGCTTTAGGCAAAGCCAGAGCTCCTTAACTTCAAATCTCTCACTAGATAGAAAAGCCAGAGTAGAAAAATTTAGGAGAGTATTTTAGGAGTAGAGAAGCCTGATCCAAAAAGGTAAAAGAAAGACATTCTGATCCATCCTCATTAGCCTTGTTTATGTAGAAATGAAAAGACATAAACTAAGAGGTTATATTTCCATTTTTCCTAAAAGTCAGCTGACTTACCTCAAAGGAACCAACAGAGTATACCCCATCCAGGCAGAGGGGTAGTGCAGAAGTGGTTCTGCTTCTTGAAGTATTCAAAAGTTAGGCCCAGAAAAAAAAAGGAAATAAAGGTCCAAAGAAGAGCCCACTGTAGATGTTCTGATCCTCACCAGGCTAGTAGGAACACATCAGAGACATTAAAAACAACTTCAACTCCAGAATCTGATAAAGGAGGAGAAGCTCATGTGTCTAAGATACACAGCAAGAGTCAGCATAGTTTTCCTGTAAAGGGGCCACTAGTAAGTATTTTAGCTTTTGTGGGCTGCAGGGTCTTTGCTGCCACCATTCAACGCTGCCCTGAAAAAGCAAAGAAACCACAGGCAATATAGAAATGACTGGATGTGGAATGCCAAAAGAACTTTATTCATGGGCATCAAAACTGGATTTCATATCATTATTAGGTATCATAATACATCATTCTTTTTATTTATTAACCATTTAACAAATGTAAAAACCAGGGCCAGGGATTTAGCTCAGTGGCTCCACACCTGCCTTACAAACACAAGGTCCTGAGTTTGATCCCTAGTACAAAAAAAAAAAGTAAAAACTATTATTTCTATTAATAAATATAGTATTAATTTAAGTAAAATTTGAATGTAAGCTGAAGTCTCACAAGCTAAAAATAAGCAACAGGTCAGATTTGGACCATGGACCAAAGCCTTGTACTGTTGTGCTAAAATTCCTGCAAGTAGAACATTAAGGAGGACAGATTTCTTTTGGCTCCTGGTTTCAGAAGCCTCAGTCCATGGTCAGGTGGCTCCATGTTCTCAGCCTGGGCCAACGCAGAAACATCATGGCAGAAGGACGTGTAGGGCAAAGCTTCATGACTGAAAACACAGGAAAGAGACAGACAGGGACAAGGTACACCCTTCAGAGCCCCATCCCCAGTGACTTACTTCCTCTACCTCCTCGTAGCCCACTCAGTATGGCTCCATCAACGGACTGATCCATTGGGAAGGTTAAGCACCCTCCCGACATGATCACCACTCCAGACCCCACCTCTGAACACTGCTGCCACGGGAAGTAAGCTTTCAACGCATGAGCCTTCTGGAGGAGATTTTAAGTCCGAACCATAACACAGACCCTTGGCCTAGCCAATTCCAAAGCAAGAGCTATGGCAGTGCTAGTAAAGGCCTAAAACTGGCTATCCCCGGAAAAAGTGTCCTACAAAGCTCACATTCATCTCTGCCGTGACAACGGCTCAAAAAGGTTTGAATGTGCTGAAAAAGAAAGGACACCTGAAATAATTGTCTAGGTACGTCACCCTTGTAAATTTCTAAATTTTACAAATGCCACTCTCTGAGGCAAGTGGCACTACACAAAGATGTCCCTCTAAAACGCAGGGTACATGGGGCCCAGAAACAGTTAGTCCATAATTAATCCCCCAAGAAATACTATCCTGAGTTCACATTTATTTATCATGGATATCCTTGTGAGACTGAGAGTAGAATAACTTTCTCTTTCCATTTGTATATTTCCACTCTCTCTCTTTGCTTGCTTCAAATATCACTGTCTGGCCAGGAACATACCAAGTTTAAGGCTCTGGGAAGATCATCTTGATTACAATGTTTCCACATGTCCCAGAGCAGAAGTACAAGGCAAAGCAAAGGACAAAGTTTCCACCAGGAAGGAACACCTAGCATTGCTCACATTTTGTTGACCAATATGAGTCATATATGGCCTCATCTATCCTACCGGGATCCTGACACTGGAACAGCCCTGCATCCGGCCCTGAACCGGGGAAGAGCACTGGGTCTAACTCGGAGCAAAGTGGTCTTCGAGGCAGGAGCAATTCCAGAAAAGAGTTAGCCGCTGAAGAGCGTTAGCCGACCATATCTAATCCCAGCAGAAGGCGGGGTAAGTCTTCCAGTTTGGAGGAGAAGCTGGAAAGCACCACACAGAGTCCATTACTTTCTTTTCCCTCCCCACAAAACCCTGAGGGTGACACATTAATTATGCATTCGCTTCTGGTTTTCAGCAACTGCTGTGCCCTGAGGTACGGCTGCCCATTTGGAAAGCTCTTAGTTGATGAAAAGACAGAGAAACAGGAGAATCTAAATATTTGGTGAATGAGTTCTCAGTTTTTATATTGAGATTCTCAAAATTTCTCCCCTTGGTGTTTTAAGATGAGTGGGTCCTGTTGCACCTTTTCTTTTAAAAAATAAATTTTTAGGGCAGTCGTTGAAGCTGAGTGATAAAGCACTTGCCTGGCATGTAT